TTTAACTTAAATTTGTAATCATTGCCAAGGTAATGTGAACATACACTGCCCTCCAAAAGTTAAGGAACAGCATGTTTTCTGTGTCTAATTTGAGAATGAAGCAACATAGAAACCAGAAATTTAGAGAACATGTTCACTAAACAGTTCTTTAACGAATGCAACATATAATGTTTCTAAAGTTCAGTGCAAACATGAATTACAACAAAAAATTGCACTCTTGGCAGAGAAATCCAGTCTTGGAGAAACAGTATATTGCAGTTTTTTGAGGAAACATGGGGTAGTAACGTTACAAAAATTGGTTCTAATAAGGAATATGTCCATCCCTAGCGGCAGTGATGTTCATGCTGTCAATTAAGTTGTGAGTCAGTGAAATAGGAAGCAATGACCAGACACGGAGTAATCCTTGTTCAAGCTCATCTGACAATCTTGGAGGAGGACTTAAAGCAGCACCCTGTCTCCCAAGGTAGTCCCAAAGATGTTCTATTAGATTCAGACCTGGGGATTGAGTTGGCCATTCCATTCACTCCATACCGTGACCCTCAAGATATTCTTCAGCAACTCGAGCTCGGTGCGGTCACGCATTGTCATCCATCATAAGAAATCCAGGACCAATAGCAGTGGCATATGGGCAGACATATTGATCAAGGATCTCGTCTCAATATCTCACACCAGCCTAAGTTCCTCCATGGAACACATGCAGGTCAGTGTTACCACCGAGAGAGATCCCAGCCCAAGGCATTATTCCACTGCCTCTGTAAGTGTCTTTCCACAATGTAGGATTGCTTGTATCTGGTGCGTTGTTCCCTTCAGATCAGCTGACGACGGGAATCGCTCTCCAGTGGAAACCTGGACATGTCTGTGAAGAGAACAGGTGCCCATTGTTGAGTGGTCTAGGAGACGTGTTGTCTTGCCCAACTTAAATGTGCACCTCTGTGTCCTCGTGTCAAGGGGACCCAAACAACTGGTTGTCATGCATACATACCTGTATTGTGCAGGGGTCTGTGCACTGTAGTAGCTGAGATTCTTGTTGCCATTAAATGATCTCCTGTAAGCTGAGGCACAGTAATGTTACTCTTCCTTCGGGCCGAAATAGCTAAATAACTCTAGGTCTGCCTGGAACATGTCTTCTAGATGCAGAATCCTCAGATTCAAACTGATTCCATAGTCAATGGACACTAAGAGAGACATTAAGATGTCTCTTAGCATCAGCTTGTGACATCCCCATTTCCATCTATCTGATCGCTCGCCATCACAACAAATCAGACAAATGAAACAAGACAAAACTCTGATAGACTCTCCTGGATATTGTCTATGAAACTGTAATAACAACTAAAGATCAGCACTCGTGAACAAAAATTACAATATTTAAAATTTTTCTCTAACTCCTTCCTATACAAGTATTCATTTTTATAAAATAAGAGTGGTAACTATTGTTTTTGCATATATTTTCTGAAACTTCGTTACTGTCATGCATATGAACTGTCAAGTTAAACATTACTGACATTTTTGTAATAGTGAGCTTTGAAAAACATGTTGTTCCTTAACTTTTGGAAAGTAGTGTATCCTATTACACTACTTTCCAAATTTACTTAAGTCATCTCCATCAGATGGCAATAACTGTCTGCAAAATTGCTAATAATATGGTCTTATAAACCAAGTTTTTCTGTTAGTGACAACATTTTATTTATGCTAATACTTTCTCTTTAATTATCTCTTCTATAAACAGACATAATTTCTTGTTCACTTACAAAGTTCCACCATTCAAGTCCTGTAATTGCTGTGTCAAGAATATCGACTAACTTGTCAATCGAAATTTTTTCCCTTTCAATAACCTCTGTGTCACTTTCTTCACTATCGGAAGTGCGAATGGGTAAATGCTAGGCACATGTGTAGCAGACGCGTGCATTAAACGTGCATGCGTAAGTTTATGGCCTTTGAGGTCCGGATTATAGATCATTCCAGATAATGGACGTCCGGGTTACGGACTTTGTACTGTATTAAGAGACAGCATTGAATAATCTCCCTTTTGTGTCTTATTATTATTGTCAGAAAGTTAATACACCATTAAATATTACAAATGATTGAAATACTATATTATATTTGAGATCTACCTGTACATATAACATATATGTCAAATGTTTTATTGATTGCAAAGAGAATCCTGTTAAAAAAATGTTCAGTTTCTAGTTGTCATATTGAGTAATAATAATAATAATAATAATAATAAAATGCTATAAAACGTAAATGTCAACGAATATTGGATATTGTCAATGAAATTGCTATTAACAATTGAAGATCAACACTTGTGAACAAAACTTACAATTTCTGCATTTTTTCCTCCAACTCCTATATAACTGTTCATTTCTATAAAATAAAAGTGGTAGCTATTTTTTTTTACATATATTTTCTTCAACTTCGTTACTGTCATGCATATAAACTGTGAATTTAAATGTTGCTGACATTTTTCTAATAGTGAGCTTTGAAAAAGTATGTTGTTCCTTAACTTTTGAAGGGTAGTGTAAATGGTTACCATGCACTTAGTTATTTAATTACTAATATCAAAAAATTGTTTATGCGTCACTGCATGAGTTATTACTCAAGTTGTCATGTGTTGATAAACATGCAGTTATGAAAGAAAAATATAACAAATAATGATTCTCCAGGTGATGTCATGAATATAAAATATTAGTGGGTGTAAAATCAATGATGTTACTATGTACTAGAATGTTTCAGTTTGAGATATGTGCCAAGAAGATATACAGCTACGGAGCAAAATTTTTGATCACACAAATCTATGCTAAAATGATTGTTTCTTCAATAACGAGTTATTTTATTGTACCGAAGTTAAATTAAGAGTCAGGATACTCCACATGTTTTATTATGGATGGAAAAAATCAACAGTGCATGCGTAAAGCATTAAGAAAAATGTTTCCTTAAAAAAAAAATAAGTTGGTGGTGGCTTTGAGGTTCGAATTTTAGATCGTTCCGGATATTGGACATCCGGATCTCAGATTTTGTACTATATATATTTTTTTAACAATACTCGAATGCTCCAAATATCCTTTCTGTTTTTCCAAATTTCTTGTTGGTTTCGTTTTGAAGAAACTTTCTCGTGGTCATTTTTGGAAGTTACATTGTCACTAAATTTCCTCTTTTAAGCAATAAATTCTTTGAGAGTCTGAAAACAATTTCTTCTCTTATCTAGAAGCCTGGCAGTGGGTTTATGATAGGAGATGCAACAGAGCTTGGGAACACTTGCATACCACCATCCATAGGAAAATATGTAGTTTACATTTATTTAGCTCCTATTTTGGTAGTGACTGACCAGTTTGATGGATTTCTGATGAAAGTAGGATTATAGTTGCAATCTGAAGAAAATGTTTGGATAACAGAACTTACTCATCTGGAGAACAAATAACATTTTATATATATATATATATATATATATATATATATACATATATTATGCTTTGAATCTGATAGTCTGAATTAGCATCTGGAAAGTGACTAATAACCAGTAGGGCCAGATTTAGACTTGATGAGGTGCTAAGCTATTTGAGAGATGGCCCTTTATAAGCGATATGGGACAATTCTTTTGGGGGGGGCCTAAGCTAAAGCTTATGTGTAAATCTGACATTGATAACTTGTATACATTATAAAGATGTGAAATAGGAATTAGTCAGGATAAGCTAATAAGTTGGGTTATGTACTATTCAAGTGACTTGCTTATGAGCTTTGACTGTAAGTGGTTTGCGATATTCTTGCAGTATTGTAAGCTATGCTCATGTATATATTCTTACAAAGAAATAATAATACTTAAGTGCTTTCAACATATGCTATTCAAATCCAGAAATCCAATTTGGTTATTTCAATAATGTGGTGAACGGTTAACCTCCAGGATTTACAAAAAGACAATATTTAGAATCCTGTACAGAAAATGTGTTGATGAATTAGGCCCGAGTGGTTTCTTTGTAATAATCATAATCAGTCGGTATTCTCTCATCACAAGAAGATCTGTGAGTATTCCACATCGTAATGAGTTTTTGTTTTAAAGTAAAAAATGTGTGATTTACCAAGAAGTAAGGAAGATATATCTTTCTTTCAAGAAAAATACATTTTACGTCGTATTTGAATATGCAGAAATGAATATTGAATAAAACTATGTATCAGGGGTTTAGTTTGGAACTCGACGTGAAGAGTTGCAAGTGAAGATAAAGCTTACATATAGACCACTAGTTCAGTAATTTTAGTGTGCTGTTTGTAATAGCACAGGGATTTATTTACTTTTGGGCAGATGAATTTTTGTTGATTAATTAGTGGGAGAAGATGTTTTATGAAAATGCAGCTATTGACTGGAACAGTTTATGAGAAGAGGTGTATTTTATACATATAATCAGAAAATCAAATAAGCTAATTTGTGGCCCTGAAAAAATTGTGGACCTAAAAAGAAAATCTGTTTGTACAGGCAAAGCTGACAGAGTTCTACAAAACTTAATATTTGATGGTTTATAGTACCAATAAACTGGTGAATTCTCGCTCAGGTTCTAAACTGAGCGGCAACTACATTCATGCCGAAAATCGTCAACCATGTACAAGAGGAATAGCTGTTGATGAGTTGATCAGACTGTTGGCATATAAAACTGAGGAACTGGTGGGGGGGGGAAGATTTAAAACATTTTAATATGATTTATAAATTTCATTTTGTTAATCCAACAACAACTGCTAATATGCAAAATGTTTAAAAAACTGTGGTATTTCACTGAGAAATGAAATAAAAGTCAACCAGGCATGTTTGCTATCATTATGAGTTTTACCTTGCATAGTTCATGTGGTGAAAGACCTTGCAATTAGAATTTGTTTAAAATTTATGTTTGTGTTAACTATAAATGTAGTCTTAACATTATATGGGAAGGGGTTATAATTTTATATTGCTCTGTTCTAATTTGAAATTAATGTTTAATATATTTTATTGATAATTGTCCTGTGATTTTCATCTTCAGGAACTTGGAAGAAAGAATAAGAAAGATCTTGTGGTAAGCATACTTCATAGCATTCTGTCTCTGAAAGTTTATATAATAGCACCTATGTAAACTTTTCTCATAGGGCCATTCCATTAAGCAAAGTCAGTGACTGCATAAGCAATGTTGTTATAACTATGCCAATTATTTTATGGGTGTATATTTAGCAGACTGATCAACTAATGTATATTTATACATAAAATCTTATGGATTAGGTTATTTTAGTACTTAAAGTGTATTTGAATAAGAAAAATAGTACTATTTACGTACTAAAGTGCCCACCAGCAGCCGAGCGATAAAGTCGCTGAACACTGGTAGTTCGGGTCCGAGGTTCGAATTCTGCGAATGGGCTGGCTGCATGGGCGTTTTTGTGGTTTCTACCATGTGTAATGTGTATATGAGTCAGTTTCCCATAGAAAGTCCTCCACGAAGGCATCTCTTCCCTTAGGCAGATAGCCCTTGAGGCTTCTCCATAATCACACATTACATACTAAAGTGCTCAAATAACATGAAAAGCAGGCTGTTTATTTATAATATATATTACCTTAGGCAAATTTAGAGGTTACTTGCCAATGTTAAATTTTTATCACCAAATAACAACTTTTTTATTGCATTTTTTTCAATCTTGTGTAGATGGATCTATCAGCTTGTGATCTTCTGCTTTGCTGAAGTTTGTGATCTTCAGCTTTGCCAGGTACTTTCACCCATGCAGATTTGCATGTTTTTCTTAAACTTTGTATAACCATTTGTTTGCTACCTTTTACTTTTATCTTTATTATTTTTTTTTTTAATCTGTATATTTCAAGCCCACTAGTAGCCAAGTTGATAAGATCCCGAATAATAGTTGTCCAACTTGAGTCTGAATCCCTGAGAAGTGTCTGATTGTGTAGTTTTTTTCTTATGTATAATGTAAATACAGTCAAAAGTCGTTAATCTGGACTCGTCAGGACTTCGGCGATTCCGGATTATCGATTTTTCCGGATTATAGACCATCAGTTTAAATCTGGTAAGATGGCATGCAGGAATTATAAAATTAAAAATATGAAACTGTAATTTATGAAATAAAGAACAATTATGATCTAAAGGGTATCAAAATTTACAAAAAAAAAGCTTAATATTTATTTGTTTACTTTATTAAACATTTCTTTCAATGTAAGTTGTTTAAGTTGCTTCGTTTTTATGTGATAATACATTCTCTTTAATTCTTTAAACAGACATAATTTCTTGTTCAGTTACAAAGTTCCGCTGTTCAAGTCCTATAATTGCTGTGTCGAGAACACCGACTAATTTGTCAATTGAAATTTTTTCGTTTTCAATAACCTCTGTTACTTTCTTCGCTATCGGAAGCGAATTATAATGATGAGGAATTTGATTTAAATCATATCAAAGATGGGGTACATCGAGATGAAATACTACATTTAATAAGGAATTATAAGCTAAATAAAATAAAAAACATCTGCCCTGAAGATTAGGATAGTGCTGACAGATCAACTTCCAATTCATTGCAGGGTGTTAAAGATAAACAAAGTTTAGATAAACAAACGTTAAAGTTTAGATAAACAAAGGATATGCCTTTATCCATTTTTTGTAGCAATTCCACTTTTTGTTTAATGAACTTCAAAACATACTTTCGCTTTGTAGATCATTTACATATTAATAAATATATATCAGAAATTCTATTTGACATAATCGAAAGTTCAAGCTTACTTTTATAAAATTGCTCTAACAGTCTGCAAAAAATAATAAGCCGGATCCAATTCGAAGATTAAGGAACAACGCAATCTGCAACATTAACTGAAATAGATAATTAAATAATTTTAGCTTAGCTTTTACCGTCTGTTATACATTAAACGCGCACTCGTAAACGTATTTTGCGCACACACACAAGCATATTCTCAGCCGTAAAGGCCTTACGCGCATGCGTCAACGCGATGCATACGCAGAAAGTTTGAAGCTTTGAGGTCCGGATTATAGATCATTCCTGATTATGGGTGTCCAAATTAACGACTTTTGACTGTAATAGCAAGTTTCCCTTGAGAAATCTTTCACTATGGTATCTCTTCCTTTAGACCAGTGTTTCTTAAACTGTGGGTTGCGACTCCCCTGGGGGTCGCAGGACCTGCAGCAGGGGGTCACCAAAACATTTAGCAATTTTTATATTTCTTTAGCTTATTATAATAATTTTTTAGTTACAAAATATTTTTACATTATGTATCTGAAAATAGACAAAGATAAGACTATACAGACAAATAAAAATGGAAAACGTTTCGATGCATTCTTTTTATAATAGAAATGTTAATTTTACTTGCTTTGCACGTGACCTTGTCATTTTGCCTGCTACTTATTTAAAATTTTCACATTGTTCTATGTCTGAAATTTAGAAATTTAAGTTAATGACCTAAAACTGCAATAGTATATTACAGTACAAGGGAAAAAAATTGACAGTTTCACACGCGTGTGTCGGATTTGCGCAATGCTTATGGGGTCCCACAAAATTTTTGTGAATATTATTTGGTCTTGGGGGGGGTCACAAAAGAATCTCAGTGATGAAAAGGTTTCGTGACTGAAAAAAGTTTAAGAAACCCTGCTTTAGACAGAAAGCCCTGAAGCTGTGGTATAGTCAGTCAAATAAATTATACATTTAAAAAATATGCTTTCTGATGAATATTTCTCATTTGTTATCTTATATATATATATTACAAATAAGCTGTCTTCTTTTCATGTTATTTGAGCATTTTCCTGTTGAATATAAAATTTTTAAGCTTTCCAAGCTTAAACATTATTTGCTTGAAAATTTTTATCCATTGATGATAGGTAAGCAGTTTTGGATAATCTTAAATTTGAATAAATTTCTTTTTAAGAAATCTAAGTTTTTGATGAAATACCAATACTGCTATGTATTGTTTTTAAACTTGGAGTATGGTGATCTGGAGTTTTTCTTCATATTTAGTTTCAAAATTCTATGAGAGCTATGAAAAATTTTTGAGTTAATTGTACTGATATGTACTAACTCTTCAAGCAGAGAGTGTCTACTGCCTGAAGCTGACTGTCTAAATAAAGGTGATTAAGCAGTATTCCTGTGATATAATAGTTGAGTATAAGTCTATAAAAATGAAACAGTCTGGTGAACTATCATTCTTGTGAGAGAAACAATAACTTACAACTGTTATCTAACTCTTCTAACAGAAACTGTTTTCTGATTAAAACTGAATGTATAAATTTTTGGATAATATATATGTGATGTAAAACCATTGAGCATTAGTTTAGAAATTGGAAAAATCAGGTAAATGCTTATTAGACATGCTTTAATATAATACAGAATTAACCAATTTTTATAGGCTATTTTTGCATTAAGTGCATATAAAGCCTTTTCATCTCTTCCTGGCAGTGAGGGGAAAAACCACTATTCTTCAGTTTAGATATGAAAATTAAAACAGCAGCTTAAAGCCATTCCAAGGTGTTTTTTTTTTTTTTTTTTTTTTTTTTTTTTTTTAATATATTAGTAAAAGAGCAGTATCAGTAAATATGTTTAAGATTAGCATCAGTTAAAAATTTGTGACAAATTGCTTTCTGCTGTGGATGTATTTAAGCTGTGGGTATATTTAAGAATTAAATTTTATGTTGCATTTTTCATTTTAATACGGTAAATTAATAAAAAAATGTTCATGTCCAGTTTTAGAATGATATAGTAATCAAAATCTGTAACATCTTTTGAATATCTGTACAGTTACATTTGTCTCTTTCTGTAGGTATTTTATTCTTCTGGTTTATCATATGTAAAATAATGAGTTTTTTTTTAAATATATGTACTTTGTTTCTCTTTTGAGTTATCTTTTAATACGTCTTTTATTTCTAATAGCTTCCTAATCCCGAGGATTTGTTCTGCATCCCGTACACTAGTGGAACTACAGGCATGTTACTCTCATTTTTAATTGTGGTATTTGATTTAAGTAATTGTTAGAAGATTTCTAGAAAATTATCTTAATCTCTAAATCTGCAATTTATTAAAAATATATTTTAAATTGTATTTCAAGTTTATACAACATTTACTATTTAATGAAAATAACTTTTGGTTGTATTATAAATAACTTTTGGATGTATTAAAATTTGCTGCATGAAGGATGCAATGAGAAAACACTTTGGAAGTTATATAAGGCTTAGTCTAAGGTAAGTGCAGAAAATTACATCATTAAAAATTACAACAATTGTGACAGTGTCATATAAAATTACATTTATGTTTAAATTAATGAAGGATTTTTAATGCATTCTAAGCTTAATTAGGATGTAATAGTACTATAGGGTTGAAATGTTCAGGTATTGCATTTTTCTATATTATAGGTGCATCTGTAGTGCAGTTTGTTTGCAATCATTAGTATTTTGGTGTATGTGTGTGTTTTGTTTGTGGAAGTTTGTAGTATGTAGATTATCTGAGAAGCACAATGTTTGATGGAAAATATTATGCTGCAATAGAATTTAGTCAAAATTAAGGGCAATACCAATAATGAGTGCAAAGAAAATGTATATGCTCCTGCTGTTTTATTATGGAATTGTTAAGAGGTGGGCTGACTTATTTAAATATGATTGGTAGTTACTGGAAGATGATATGCACCGTGGTTATCTAGTTGAAGTCATCATTGACAATATATGTTGCAGAGTTGAAGACGTAATTTTGAGTATTATGTAGATAAAGATTCTTGAACTAGTTACAAAATTAATGATCAGTTCTGGCTCTGTGAGAATTATCTCAGATATCTGAGTTCTGTTCTGTATGAGTCCTGAAAGTGCCAATTTTTGAAAAAAAGCTGAGTTAAATCTTCTAATGAAATGTAACAGTAATAAATACTAGTAAACCATCTTTATAGTATATATGTTAAATGGGGATATGATTTCAGTTCTTAGCTGGAATCGTGTGATGATTCTGCATTGAAAAGGTTTAAGAAAGCTACTGAACATTATTTTGAAAGCTGTGAAGGGAATTTTTTCCCAGAGATGGAACTTAAAACTTATCTAAATTTTGTATTTATGAGCAACTGAAAGGAAAATCTTGTATGTATGTCTGATGTGGTGCATATGTACCAAATGCATGAAGCAAAAACGTGTACATATGTAAATCATTACATTACTCTGCATAACAAAGGCTTTGTCAATGGCCCCAACATCAGCCCTACAGGTTCTTGCAAGTCTAATCCCACTGAACTTCAAAGGACAATTAGAAAATCACTATAAACACTTTTGACTGATCCACTAAAAAAAAAAAAAAAAAAAAAAAAAAAAAAAAATCCAAATAGACTGCCTTGCAATTTGGAATAACCCTGAATTAAACCTCACATTAGTTAATCAGCATCCCACAAGACAGGGCCATATTATCTAGAGAAAAGATCTACCCAAGATAGGGACATAAAACAAAACATGGTTGAATAGAAGCGGTTTTCATATTCTACAAAATGCACAGGAGGTCCGCAAAGAAAATTTCCAACTTAATAATGAAGCTACAATTTTCCAGGCAAAAGTCCTGGGCCTCAGACAGGCACTCTTATGGTTAGGTCAATTATGCAGACTAGATTTCTTTACTGAAACCTTTAAGGACAATCAAAGCACTTTACAAAAGTTAAACAGCAATAAAATCACCAGATGCAGTATCATGAGTTTAGCAGAAATTATAAAAATATTAAAAATATCCCACAAGATTAAATTAGATTTAAGTTCACATAAGGGAATAGGGGAGGCTAAAAAAGCCACTTAAAATAGGTACCATTGATACTGAAATACCACTATCAGAAAAGAGGATAAAAATGTTCTCAGATAATAGGCAGAAAACTTATTCTTGTGTAAATCAGACGTTTAATAATGGTAAATTTCTGTGTTATGTGCAATGCTTTCATAAAAGAAAGAAGTGCATGCAGCACAAGTGGGATTTTGGAGAATGCCACTCACTACATGGGATCTGTCCTCCTCTAACCAAGACAGGAAGAAGCTTTTCCTGTCGATACTCCCATCCTCACATCTGGAGCACTTAGCCAAGTTCCTACACTGCCTTAAAGGCATAAAGCGTAATGAAAAAAATTGTAGAGAATGACATCATTATTAACATGTAAATCCTCGCAGTCACTATTTTTTAAATGCTTGGCCATGCCAGCCTAATGTCTTTTAAAACAATCTTGTAAATATTTTACATATTCTCTTAAACCTTATAAGTTTAAGCCTTATAAGGTTAACCTTATGAGGCCAGTATAAGCTTAGCCTGAAGGCCTACTTTCAGTTGTTTTAGCCAAAGAGCTTTTTAAGATTTCAGTTTTCAAATTTTAGCCTATAAGGCACTCAGATACTGGTACACCTTTAAAAATCATTTTTCTCCTTGCTCAATAAAGAGTTAAAAATAACCAAGTGCCCTGAGCATAAATAGAAACTCGCTACAAACCTTAATGATCTAGTCTGCTGAGACCTGTCTCATCCTGCCCAATATGGAGAGAGACAAGGCTCTTCACCATAGCTGTTTTAACTGGCAGGTGTGGAGGTGCAAATGTTTTCACCCTAGGTAATAGAAACAGAAAGCTAACTAAAAGATCATAATAATAACGATATTCATGAGGGTTGGATTCATTAAAAGTATAGCGATAAATTGAAAAAAAAAAAAAAAAAACTGTCTTTTACATGTTAGCATTAGAACTTATAAAAAATCTTTTGTATGAGTTGTCGTGCAGCCATGTCTGAATTTTGCATGTACAGGAAGTCAAAATAATAATTTTAATGAAAATTTTTAATTGCTTGCTTTTTCCATTAGCATTCCCCCTCCCAAATAGTGCACATAGCATTTTTGCGTAGTATTAATCAGAAAAAAAGCAATTGATAAGCTTTAAAAAATATTTCATTTTTATACCAGTTTTTTTAATATTTTTATTTTAGATAAAATATTGTTCTGTGAAATTTAGAAAAAAAAAGTTACCTGTATTAATGTAAAACTTCTATAAGTAATACTTCTCTGTCTTTACGAGTAGGAATCCCTAAAGGAGTTATGTTAACTCACAAGAACCTGATAACATGTTGTTCCTCTCTTATTTATGGATATGGAGTAAGTTTTTTTTTCCCATTTTATTCATTATTTTGTAATTCGTATCATGTTGATGATTTGCTTAAAATTTTTATTGTCTATCCCAGTTAAATTGTAGGTGTTCAACTTTAAAACAAATATCAAAGAATATTTGGTCCTTTCTGATTATCCACAATCCCTTTCAAAAGTCACCACTCATTGCTTGCCTACACTAGAGAGAAACTTTTGTTTGAATATCTTTACATCTATTTCAGTGATGCATCCAGTGCTGCTTATTTTATTATGTTCTCCTTTTTCCACACAAGACATGCACACTTCTTAGTTTTTTGCACTATTTTTCTCCTCATTTGCAGAGCGATGTGTTTTCACTAAAGAGGAATATTGGAGAATTGCACAAACTTGGCATCATGAACAACTTCAGGTCCAAAATTTTAAAATGGAAGAAAGAGGCACGCAATACCTTTAAATGAGCCACATTTCACTATATGCATGCAGAAAGCTAAGTCCAGGGTTTTTGCTAAAGACCAAGAAAACTGCAGTATGGGGTATATTGCTATGCTAAAAGTTACCTTTGTTACTGCATAAATACTTTTTGGCAGCATCGTGGGTTGCCACATGATTATTTTTTGGTGATGTACATTTTTGCACCTATTCAGTGGAAGTACAGAATATTTTTATCTGTCCTAAAAAAGGAAACTTATGTGCTAGATAAAAACTAATCTTACTACATTATTTGCATATGTTGATTAATTGCATTTATTTATTTATTCTTCAAACTGCAATAACATTTTATTTTCCCACTCCAGAAATTGAATCAAATTCCTGTTTGTTGTTGAGAGGAGGTTAATTCATAACTGGTGTCTAAAATGATAGATTGAATCTTGAAATATTCAGTCATCATGCAGTTTTCATAACTATTTGCCATGTACTTAAATGATCAACAGATCCTCTGTACTTGATTTTCCGAATGATATTGTACCATAGAAAAGAACTTTGAGGCCACTGAAATCAGTGGTTCATTGAAAAATGTATGAATTGCTTGCTGTGATATTTTTTGCATTTCAGAAGAAGATTGATATAGTTGGATTGGTTAATAATAATTAGGCTTCCATTTTGCTGATTCCAGTAATAAAAATATTGATGAAAGAATGATTTAAGTTTTATCATTTCTATTTATGCAGTGTGTTGTTATATTGATATGTTGATAAATGTTTAATATTTCAAGTTATGATAAAAGATGGTTCTTTCTATTTTTTTCTGTATGCTTCAAACATTTCTTTTGATGAGAAAAGTCATCTTTCTCGTCACAGATATGTACTTTAGTTTTATATGGTTTATCTGTTTTGATTTTTGCTGTCTGATATAGATTGCTATATTTATGTAAACAAATATGAATGACTACTTTTAACAGGGTCATTAAATAGAACAAGTTCATTTGATACTATAATTTAAAGTTGTTTTCTGTGTAAAAGAATTTAATTTGAGATAAAAATAATTTTGAATTGCTATGCTGGAATATTCAAATACTACTAATGCAGAAAATGTAATTATGTATTAAAGTGTTAAGGATTTAAATATTTCATGCAATAAAGCATATATTAAAATATATTTTTCTTGCATTAATTGTGTAATTCCCACCTCCTTCCCGCTCTAGAAAGCTGGTATATTTGGAGGAACAATAATATCCTACCTTCCAAGTGCACATATCTATGAAATTTGCAATGAAGTGAGTTTTCACTTGTGCTATGTCTTTTTTTAATTTTTTCTCTCTTTCTTTTGACATTTTGCTGTTATTTTATTCTTAAATTTTAAATCCATTTGATCATAAAGTTAAAAAATTATGTGTTATAAAATAAATATGTGTTGTAAAATAAATATGTGTTATAAAAATGATTTCTAGTGCAAATATTTCAAATAATACCAAGTTTTTTTATGTGCTAGTGTCTTGCTAATTCTCATGTTCAGGTTGCCAGTATGTATTTTGCTCGACGCATTGCATTTTACAGTGGTGACATCAAAAAGTTGATGGATGAAGTAAGGTTTTTAAAACCTACTATATTGCCATTGGTGCCAAGGTTAATGAATGCCATGTATACAAATGTAAGAAATTATTATTATTTTTTCTTATAATAAAATCTAGTCATAAAATAAGGTATCATCCTGCATTATCTGGTCAAAAGTATCCGGACACCCAGTGCTATGTATTCCCAGAGTCCTGAGGCATATATTAACTCTTTCATGACCAATCTGCCCCACACGGCCCTACATTGAGACAACCAGAATTGCTGGAAAATGGCCGAGATTGCGATCCTGATTTTTTCCCTTCCCCTAAGGTATGCAGTAGCAGGTGCAGTTTTCCCAAATGCATTGTATCAGTTTACTGCAGACAGCTTGTCTTAAGAGGTTTCTTATCTTTTGGTTGCTCGGGACGTTTCGTTGTTGATTCTTTTTTGGTACAGTGTGCTTTTAAGCTTTAAACAGTAATAAAAGTGCAGTTTAAAAATTTAAGGATTATATTTATTTTTAATCAAGTTTATTCCTTCTTATAAAAATAACAGAATTAAACAAAATCTCAGTCGTGATCATAACAGAGCCAGAAAGGCTTGTTGGTTTGACCTTCAGAATAGGTTTACAAAGAGTAGGATCAAAGGCTATTGAAATCTTTGTTAGAAAGTACAAAGCATGTCATTCAGAATCTTCACACCTATTTTCTGTGTTAATGGACAGGGAGGGGAGGGGAGGAAATTGCTGTGAAACTGGAAAAGTATTTCGAGCGGTTCAGTACTTTGAGGATACAGGTTAGAGAAGGGTCTGGATTTCAAGAGTTAATGATATTGGTCCCCCTTTAACATCGATGACAGCCTGCACAGACTTTGTACCAGTTTTTAATAGGTGGCCATAGGAATTAACTTCCAGACATCCATCGGAGCTGAACTGAGTGCTGACAGTGAGGATGGTTGATTTGGATGGCTACGAAATCTGTGTTCTAATTCGTCTCACAGGTGTTCTGTGAGATTTAGATCAGGGTTGTGAGAAGGCCAGTCCAGTTTTTGAACACCCATTTCTTCAAACCATGGCAGCACAAGTCTCATTGTGTGATAGACCAATTATCCTGCTGGAAGAGAAATAGGCCTTCCCAAAATATTGCCATAGAGTTGGGAAAGCAACATTGTCCAGAATGACAACATACATCTCAGAGTTCATGTTTCCAACCACAGGAACTAAGGTAACCAGGCCAAACTATGAAAAACCTCCCCACACCATGCTGCAACCACCAAACTTTATGTTCAGCACAATGCAGTCACTTAAGTCCTCGCCGGGCATCTGCCAAACCCAGATGTGTCCATCAGACTGCCAGATTGTAAAGCAAGATTCATCACACCAAAGAATCCATTCCACATGAATCTCCCAAGAACATTTTTCCACAACATGCCCACAGTCCAATGATGGCAAGCTTTGTGCCATTGCATTCAACACTTTGCATTCAGGGGGGAGCAATTTTCAGCTTGTTAGCAGCTGCATGACATGGAATCCAAGGTTTTTTTAATTCTCAATGAACAGTTTTGCTGTTAGCACCAGTGTCCAATGAGCTTTGGAACTCCTGCAAGATTTCAACAAACGAGGACTTTCAATTTTGTTCCACTACACTTTTCAGAGTTCTTTGGCTGCGTTCATTAATTTTTTTCGGCTTGCTGTTTCATTTTTTTGCTGTTTGACTGCCTTATTGTTTCCACTTCACAATTATATATCACTCACATGAAATTTTTGGCTTCTGTAGAATGTCTGAAATTTCACGAACTGATATCTGACAAAGGTGGCATCCCACTATGCTGCTATGATCACTAAGCTAAGTCACTAAGCTCCTTTGACTTACTCATTGTCTCACAAAGGCATAATTATGACTTGAAACATCACTACCAACACTTTTGTAGCTTTTTTTTGTGCATCAAATTACATCACCTACCAGATCTCTTTTTTTAGGGGGGTCCAGATACTTCTGGCCAGATAGTGTGTAATTTTTAGTACATTTCATTAATTTTTTAATCATCTTTAAAATCTGTACTGTTGTTATAATCTTGCAAAATATTCTTTAACCTGTGATAAAACACATCTGTAATGCTAGTTTTTGTAATTACCTTTTCTAGATATATGTTGCTAAACTCTCTAACAAGAAATCCATTTTCTTCAAATTTACAACTTAAAGATCACTAGTTTTTTTTTTTTTTTTTTTTTTTTTTTTCAATAATGGCCCATCAGTATCCAAATGGATAAGTCTGCTAAACACTAGTAGCTAGATACTATTCCATAGCAAATGGGCTAGCTGCCTGAATGATTTTGAGATTTTCTGCAAGTCTACTGTATAAAATTACTATTTTTTTAAGACATTACAGGAAATAATTCTCTCTCTCTCTCTCTCTTTTTTTTTTTTTTTTTTTTTTTTTAAGATAGCCCTTTTGTGTTTTCCCATATTTGATTAAACAAGCATTATTCATTAATATTTATTTTAAATCTTAATGATTATTCATTATCCCACATCTTATAAGGGTTAAATTAAATATTGATGTTAAAATTCACATTCTGGATCTCACATGTAACTCTGAATCAGTATCTATATAGATCTCACATGTAACTCTGAATCAGGTATATATGTACTAATTTAGTTTTAAGCATGTAATTTCATTTTTAGTGTGTGGCTGTAGCCTGCTCAAAATAGGGGACTGTTATGACTCCTATGATTATAGTGCTCTTCTATCTATCACAATATCTTCATGCATATAAATAATAATTACTTAATGAATACATTGTATTAATGACAGTAAATAATTATTATTGTATTTTAGAAAGACATATTACATTTAATTAATATAGCTAATAATTACGATATAACAAACATGTTAAGTTTTTTTCTGATTTTCATCGTTTTTTAACTTAAAAAAAAATTTTTTTTTTTTTTTTCCCCTGTTCAATTTTGATCATCTAAGGCTCAGAAATAACAATCATTTTTATGGATGGTCTTCTATTTGAGGTGGTCACCATGAGAGGGTTCACTGTTATTCAGTTTTTCTCTTAATAAAAAATTAAAACACTTATTTTGTCCCTTGATAAACAATATTGTACAATATGTAGATATATACTGGTAAACAATGATAGTTTACCGAAATATAATTGCCTTCTTTTAAACATGGAAAAATTTAAGAATATATTGTATTTATTAATTTATTAAGTTGCTGAGATCATCATTTGAATTAATTTTTACAATTTTTATTTTCATCTTGTAAATTTGAATTCTGTGAACTATGCTTAAGTGTTTTCATAAGCAGTAAGTCAAATTACTGTGAATTCATTCTTTTTTATTTATTGCAGAATCACAAGTTACAACTGGTTAACAGTTGTCTTTGTTGGTAGACAAAGAGAAAGGGTATTATTATTATTATTTTTTTTTTCATGTCAGAAATTTATTAAAATCACGAGGTTCTGACATTTCTTAAAATTTATAATAGGACATAAGAAATCAATCAATTGAATTTTGTGGATGCAGGAGTAATGAAAATGTTGACATTTTCCCTTTTGCGGCTGCAATAAAATTGTTGAAACTGAGGCATTGATATTATCAGCAAATTTTAATTCATTTGAGATGAATTTGTTTTTGATTAAAAATTTTCAATTAAGAATCAAAATAAGTGACTCCTTTTTAATATCGTACATTAAAGAAATAATACTATTAATAAGAAAATGATTTCCTTTAACTGAACCTATCTGTGTGATACAATCTCTGAAAAGTGTAATTAATTAAAATTACTATACTTGAAACAAATGTTTTGAATACAATTTCTGACCACAGATAATTTAAAATTAGCCCCCCCCCCCAAAAAAAAAACCATCCTTAGTGTGAATGTGGATTTTTAACTCTTTCACGCTGATTGTTACAGAGACATGGCAGCATGAAACACACTCATTTCTTGGCTGCCACGCTAGCGTGACAGAGCTTTTTCTGGCTCAGCTCCTCTTATCACACACTAATGTCAGACTTTTGGAGTATTTTAGTGATTAATATTTTTAGCTCAAGATGGCATTGTATGGCCATAGGATTTGAGGTACGTGTAGATTTGACTCGGAATGAGATGAGCATGACTTGCACATTTATTCACACATTTGGATTTTGATTATATAGGCATGAGGTGAAAGGTATGTTCTGGACTCGCAAGCTTCTTAATAGCTCTTTACACCTTGCATTTATTTCTCTCTCTCTCTCTTTTTTTTTTTACTTGTAGAGGTTAGAAATTATTTGAGTTTACAGTTCCAGTTTCTAATCCAGTTATACTTTGTGTGTGTTTTTTTTGGGGGGGGGGAGGAGGAAGCTAGAGAGTTAGATGTTTGGGTTTACAGTCCAGTTTCTAATCCAGAGTTATACTTTGTGTATCTGAAATGTTTCTGCTTTGAGCATTACTATATTGAAGCATTAAAAATTTTTAACAAATTACGTAAATCTAAATCAGGCTATATCTGTAATATGATCATTTATATAGGAAAAAAAAACAAAGTTGATCTTTTATATGGGAAAAGAAACTTTACAATTAAATGGATAAAGAGTTGTTAAATCTTTGCTTGAAGTACTTTGTGTTTAAGGGTACCATTTATATATTGATTGTTTTTTCATGTCTCCACCATTGGCAGATGAACTCTTTAGACTTATAAAAAATACTTGTCTGACTGTAATGAGGAGAAGGAAATAAATAGCTGAAAATTTTCCACAGTTGAAAATGAAAATTGGTATCATGTTGATTTGGCAGAAAAAGAACCTAAAATTAACTGGTGCTTTGTATGATGCTCCTGCAAAAATCTTCCAAAAAGGCAACTGAGCCATTATGAATGTAAGGATTGAAACACAGGAGTGTGCTTAGATCCCTGCTTTTAAATTTATCTTGTGAAAAAAAAAAAAAAAAAAAAAAAAAAAAACATTTTGAGGGAATTGTTTAGTTATCAAATGTATATTGTCAAAAGTCACCAATAGGTAAGCAAATATTGAAAAAAGTAATGTGCAAAATAAAAGTAGTAATTTTTTTTTTTTTTTTTTTTTTTTTTTGAGGGAAAAGAAAACCTTAAGTATAAGGTTTACTTTAAAATTCTGTCCATTTGAAAAGCAAAGGAAAATAATACATTTTTTGCACATTTAATAATAATATTTATTGTACAACATAATTTCGATTATTACTTAGATGTAATTGCCAACATGATGGCAATTTGTAGATACCACTTTTGAAAAATGTCTTGTCCTTAGAGGTGAAGAATTCAAGTAGTGCCAGTCAAGTAATATTGACATCTGCTTCAGGTTTGAATTTTTTCTTTTCAAAAAACTGTTCAAGAAGAGAAAAAAGGGATAATCAGGAGGTATTAGGTCTAGGGAGTATGGAGGATGCAGCAGAATTTCCAAGCCTAGCTCTGCGATTTTTTGCTGAGTCACCAAAGCAGTATTTGGTCTATTATTATTATGATGCAGTATGATTTGCTTCCTAATGAATATCAGCGGCCTCTTTTCTTTGACTGCTTTGTTTAAATCATCCATTTGCTGATCATATCTATCCCAAATGAGCTTTTTAGTTTGTTTATTGTAAATAAGTTTTTCTTTACATTTGAGTTGTGGGCCCACCTGAGGCTGAGTGGCAGAATTGTTGAGCATTTTTAGTTCAACCTGGATTCAAACCCTTGCGAGTAGGTTGGCTGCATGGAAATTTTATTGTGTTTCCCTTGTGTAGTGTGAATATGAGACAGCTGCTTTTAAAATGTCCTCCATGAAGGTATTCCTTCCCTTAGGGAGATAGACCTCAAATGTTATTAAAAAAAAAGAAACAAAAAATGGGAGGTATAATGAATTTAATAAAATGCTTTTCAATTTCTGAAATAGAAAATAATTTTTTTTATATAATATTATTGTTCTACAGATTGTGCTTCCACTGTATTTGCTCATTAACGTTATTTTAGGTAATGGATAGTGTTAAAAGTAGTGTATTGAAAGCCTTGTTGCTTAAAATTGCCCTTGCAAGGAAAGAGAAACTTCTCAAAAAGTAAGTATTAAAAGCAGTGCTTTCGTATTTTATATTTAGTATTGAAAAAATTCATGTTTCATATTTTTTTCATATATTTCAGACAAATAATTACAAAAAAGTCAATATGGGATAAATTAGTTTTCAAAAAGTTTCAAGATATTTTAGGAGGAGAAGTTCATATGATAGTTACTACCTCTGCTCCAGTATCACAGGATGTTATGAGGTTTTTCAGATGTGCTTCAGGCTGTTATGTAAGAACATTTTACTATAACTCTTAGTTTCCCAACTGTTCATTTTTTTCTTTCATTTTGCTGGAGGAGCGAGAGAAATTATGTTAATTTCTTTTTACTGATTAAGGTAATGTTTAGTGATTTATTTTGTAAAACTCTCCCATTCAGTATTAGTGGTTAGCTGGATACCTTGCTGAACTCCAACTGCAGATAAGTCCTAATATATTTTACCTTTTTTGTTCTGCAGTTTTTGCTGTGTTTTCTGTAATGATACTGTGAAATGATTAGAAGTTCAGATTTCATCCAGCAAATCCTTAATTGACAACCACAGAACTGCTGGGAGGAAGTTACTTTACATTTATGAGAAAGCTATATTATCAAGTATAATGTTTCTTTCTGTACCATCAATCTTAACATAGCGTTAACATTTCACTCATTAATCATGACTAACTTAACTAATTATCTTAGTTATTCATAGTTATTATATTTGTCATAGTTATCATAGTTTCATAACTTGACTAATTACAAGGATCATCCGGAAAGTAAGTCTCCCACATTGCCAGAAGATGGTTCTGCAAAAGGACCGAAATGCATAGGTACAAGCCAGGTAGTTTGTGGGTGTTGCTATTGTATGCAGTAGTTATAATTTCCTCATTGCTTACATTAACATCGTTGTAGTGGCTACAGATGTCGGCTCTTATTTCTTCTCCCACTGACAGGTGAGGTCCATGATAAAATTTTTGAACATACAGAAAGTAGGGCTGATCAAAATCCATTGTCAGCTGTGTTTAATGTATGGACCGGATGTGATGAGCAAGCAGATAGTTCATCATTGGCTGGAGTTTTCTGAAAGTGGGCAAAATGTCCGTGTTGAACAGTGCTGGTACCAGCCATCCCTCATTGATGATGGCTTTGTAGAGCAGGTGCAGCAGTGCATTCTGCAGATTCGTCACTTTAGGGTTGCAGAATTCAGTAGCCATTTCCCGTGGATATCACAAACTATGTTACATGAAATCATCACGAAACATCCATTTTTCTGGAAACTATGCACCAGCTAAAGAACCTTACACTCGAACAACAAATGAAATGCATGGGAGCAGCACTGAAACACATGAAGCAGCTTTCTGCAGCAATAACATGATGAAGGTGACGAGTGCCTCAATAGGATCATTGTAGTTAATGAGATGTGGGCTGCTCACTTCACCATAGCAACCAAGCAAAAGTCGATGCATTGGCGTCAGAGTCAGTCTCCATGCCAGACCAAATTCAAACAGATTGTATCCACTCGGAAACTGATGTGTACAGTTCTTTTGGGACAGGAAATGTTGAGTAGTGCTATGGTGAACACTGAACATTACTGCACAACACTATAGAACTTATGTCAAGCGCTTCATAACAAGAGACATGGGATGCTCAATGCTGATGTTGTGTTGCTGCATGGCAACACTTACCCGTATACGGCAAATTCCACAAAAAATCTGCTGCAGAAGATTGGCTTGGAGGGTTTGACCATCCACCATATTCTCCCTAGTCTTGCTTCCAGCAACTTCCACCTGTTTAAACCTGAACTTGAAGAAATTATTGTCTGGGCATCACTTTCCTACAAATGAAAATGAGCAGACTGGGAAATGATGGCTACATTCCCCGGTGGCAAACTTCTATCACATTAGACTTCAAAAACTTGTTCCACAGTATAACTGGTGCCACAATTCTGGTGGTTCTTATGTTGAGAGGTAGCTGGAATATTTTTGTGTTTTTGCAATAAATCTTTCCAGGTAATTATGTTTTGTTTCTTTATATAGGCCATAGGAAATTTGCTTCTCAGGTGATTCTTGTATCATAGTTCCATTAGGGTTTTTAAGCCTTCAGCCACGAATTAAGAAAATTCTTGGCTTATTTATGGCAGCATCTAAGACTACAGCATACTGGTCATTCAAAGTGGGTTTGATTCCTGATGAATGGGTTGGCTGCTTGGTATTTTGGTAGTTTCCCTATGCATAACATCACAAGCCAGTTTCATTTAGCCCTTCTCTCCCAATAAGGACATTTTTAAGCAGAGGCTTTAGCATACATTAGCATAACTCATATAACTACAGTAAAGAAATTTTTGTGAAGGCACACTTAACCAGCCTTTACCTTTTTAAAGGTGTGTCTTATCTTACCTATTACCTTACAAAGTTATAAAATGTTTATCTTTTAAAGTAGCTATCATTTCAGTTTTAAAGGTTTAATTATTCTTTAAATAGTTGAAATACATTTGAATTTTGTTTTCATTTGCTAAAAGGTGTTTTTAGCCTTCATGGCAATGTAACTAAAGTGACAAATTTGCTAATTAACTGCTTTTGAACTGCTGTTTATCTCAGTCTGTTCTCATTTAGCTTACCAAAACTGAAGGGAGGGATTATCATAAAGTCTTTGTCAAACTATGACAGAATTTTGTGTGTTTATCAAAATGTGTTTTTATTGTGTTGCAGATAAAACATTAAAAAAATCCAAATTTCTTTTATGGGATAATCCTTTTCTACATGTGGCTTTGTGATTATTCTCATTGTCCACATGGTTATAAATATTCTGAAATAATGCAATTTCATACTTTTCTCTGCTTTTATATAAAATATGCCAATAATAAATCTCTCTTCCTGTATGGGATGCTGTATTCCTCACATATTGTGGTTAAACTGCTGATTTAACAAAGGTATAAAATATTAGTTATGATGTTTATATAGTTAATGGTCCTAGACACAATTTTTTTAAACTAAATTTTGATTGATGCTTGATTATTTTGGGGAAAAGCAGCACAAAAAAGGGAAATTTAATATTCTGCAAAATTCTGTTGTAGTTTGACAAGGACTTCATGATGATCCCTCCCTTCAGTTTTTGCTTAAAGTAAACCATTAACAACTTAAATTTTAACAAATTCATATGTGTTACAAAATTTTTAGGCATTCTGTATCTTTGCATTTTACATTTCCAGTACATCATCATATTTCCCTCATCATGCATGAAATGATAGTAGAAAAAATAATAATAAATAAGTAAGACCCAGAATGACTCTTATGTTGGATGGTAAAACTCACTTGTCACATTTGATTATATTGTAACATTTGGTATTTAAATTAACCAGTTATTTATAATTTCAGCCTTTTCTAAAACTTCTCATTTCTGTTTCCTTTCATTTGAAAACCAAAAATGTAAATGAATTAGATAGTATTTAAGCTGAGGTTTTTGGATTGTAAGACTAAGCATGTTTCTTCCCCTCGTGGCGACATCATATAGTTCTGCCATCTCGGGTAAATTTGTAATTATTCAGCTTTGTGTTATTTGCTGCAAACATTTAAATTGCTATGCCAGTTAGAGTGTTGAGTCAATATTGCTTTAAATTTAATTGTTGTCTTTGACTACTACTCCATTTTATAAATTTGAATTTGACTGTTGTTTTGGTTACATTGCCACAAGTGATGATTGATGCTGTAAGCACAAGAAGTGCATTTGTGTTCAAAGTTTATATTTAAATAAAAAAGGTGACTTTACAACCTTTCCAAGACTTAATAGTTAATTTCAGACATGGCAATAATTTATTTTATGAGAAGTTTGAAACTAGTTTATACTATTAAGTCAAACTCTATAATATTAAACTCTAATTATTGTTTTCACAGGGATATTCTATCAAAATCATAAATACAGAATTCCATTATTTAGCTTTAGTTTTTATCTTGTGTGCAATTTTTTATATTAATTGTTTTTTACATTAGTTCTATAATTCATTAATATGTTTTTTAATTGCGAATCTTTGAAGACTCTGTCATCATTTATTTGAAATACTTTATATTTACTAGATACTTGAAGCTTATGGACAAACTGAAGTGCTGGCTGGAACTATGACTCTTCCTTATGAATATGTTGGAGGTAAATGAAGAGCACTGGTGAAAAGAGGCACCAGACATGTATTTGCCAGCTTTAAGTTTTTGGCAAACACAGCTCATGACATTATATCTAAGAATTATTGAAATAGCTTTTTTATTCTCTGAAAATATATAAAAATAAACTTTCTGTTTGATGATATTTGGGCATCATGAAAAGTTTTCTGTCACATTAGTGCTTCCAGAATGCAGAATCTTGACATACACAAATTTTATTCTGTTTATAGCTATTTTGTATTTAATGTATTGTAAGAAGCTTAGGAACAATGGCGAGAGTTCATTCGAGCAATATTAAAATGCAACTATTTTTAATATAGAATTTAAGAGTTCCTCTGAATCCCCCCCCTCCTTTTTTTAATAAATAAATTAATGTACAGTCAAAAGTCGTTGATTCGGACACCCATAATCCGGACCTCAAAGCTACAAACTTTCTGCGCATGCGTCGTGTTGACACATGCGCATAAGACTTTTATGGCTGCGAATATGCGTGTGCACATGCGCATAATACGTTTGCGCTTGCGCGTTTAATGTATAACGGACGCTATAAGCTAAGCTAAAATTATCTAATTCAGGTAATGTTGCATATTGCGTTGTTCTTTAATCTTCGAATTGGATCCAGCTTATTATTTTTTGCAGACTGTTAGAGCAATTTTATAAAAGTAAGCTTGAACTTTTGATTATGTCAAATAGAATTTCCGATATATATTTACTAATATGTAAAGGATCTACAAAGCGAAAGTATGTTTCGAAGTCCATTAAACAAAAAGTGGAATTGCTGTCAAAAATGGATAAAGGCATATCCTTCGTTTCTCAAACCATTCCGAAATCTGTTTATCAATTTCACGCTGCTCTGCGGCTCGGGGGGGGGGGGGAAACGCTGAAACGCCGCGGCGCACAGTGAATTGAAAGTTAACCTGTCAGCACTATCCTTATCTTCAGGGCAGATGTTTTTATTTTATTTGGCTTATAATTCCTTACTAAATGCAGTATTTCATCTCTATGTACTCTGATATGATTTAAATCAAATTCCTCGACATTATAATTCGCTTCCGATAAAGAAGAAAGTGACCCAGAGGTTATTGAAAATGAAAAAAATTTTGATTGACAAATTAGTCGGTATTCTCGACACAGCAATTATAGGACTTTAACAGCGGAACTTTTTAACTGAAGAAGAAATTATGTCTGTTTATAGAATTAAAGAGAAAGTACGAGTATTATCACATAAAACGAAGCAACTTAAACAACTTACATTGAAAGAAATGTTTAATAAAGTAAACAAATACTAAGCTTTTTTTTTTTTGTAAATTGTGATATCCTTTAGATCATAATTGCTCTTTATTTCATAAATTATGGTTTCATATTTTTAATTTTATAATTTCTGCATGCCATCTTACCAGATTTAAACTGATGATCTATAATCCGAAAAAATCGATAATCTGGAATCGCCGAAGTCCCGACAAGTCCGGATTAACGACTTTTGGCTGTATTATATTTTAAAAGACATTCAAATGTATTATTTTTACTTTAAATAAATTTAAATGGCTTAATAGTATTCAATACTTATTCAGTAATATCATACATGTAATAGCATTTATTTAGAATTTGAGTAATTTAAGGTATTCGTATTTATATGAAAAAATACTTTCTTGCATTAGTTTTTCCTTTAAAATTATGGGTTTCATGGCATGTGCCCTTTTCTCCACTGTGTGCTTCAAATTTATTGAAAATTCTTACCAAACTTGTTTTACTTGAAAAATATAGAAGCTAAATTATTCATACTAAACATTTTTTTCCCCAGGTCATGTTGGAGCTCCTTTACCATGCAATCATATGAAATTAGCTGATGTTCCTGAAATGGGCTACTTTTCAAAAGATGACACTGGTGAGGTAATGTTATTTTTATGTATATATTTGGGATTTTTTTTTTTTTTTGGGTGTGTGTGTGTGTGTACAAGCATTTAATACATACACGCACACACACATATATGTATATGCCTTTTTAGAATGGAAAACTTCTGTTTTCAGTAGTATCAAAAATATTTTTTTTTCCACTATAGTAACTTAGTTTCTTCTTAGCAAGACTGTAATTAAAAACAAAGTTCTAGAACTTAAGCAAAACTTCACTATCAGTAAAAATAGATAAAGCAAGTAACTATTTTAGCATAAATTGAAAGAAATTTGATAGTAATTTAATTTGAATTGTTGAAATTGAACTTCAACAGGCAATTACTTCCCAAAAAATCAATATCAATATTGCCTCTGTTATCAACAAAATTAAAGCTTTTCACTAGAAACTTAAAATTCAGTAAAATCCGACAGGTTCCAAAATTTCTTAAAAGTCTAGTCAAATTTCATTTTGTAATTAATGGTCCATAATCCGGACTCGTCGGTACTTCGGTGTTTCTGGATTAGGGTTTTTTCCCAAATTATAGATCATCAATTTAAATCTCGTAAGATGGCATGCAGAAATTATACAATTAAAAATATGAAATCGTAATTTATGAAATAAAGTACAATTATGATCTAAAGGGTATCAAAATTTACAAAAAAAAAAGCTTAATATTTATTTGTTTACTTTATTAAACATTTCTTTCAATGTAAGTTGTTTAAGATGCTTCCAAAAAAAATTCAAAAAGTTCCTTTTTCTTGTGTCATATATAGTGAACTTTCCAATGCCATACTTTTCGCATAATTTTGAGACAGATAGACCTTTATCCATTTTTTGCAGCAATTCCACTTTTTGTTTAGTGGACATCGAAACAGGCTTTCGCTTTGTAGATCCTTTGGCACCTCCAGAATTGGAAACTCTTTTTGGCATAATTGAAAGTTCAAGCTTAATTTTTATAAAATTGTTCGAACAGCCTGCCAAAAATTAAAAGCGAGATCCAGTTAGAAGATTAAGGAACAGCGCAATCTGCAACATTAACTGAAATGTCTTAGATAATTTTAGCCTAGCTTATACCGTCCATTATACATTAAATGTGGCGTTTACACATGTGCATAAAGTTTGTAGTTTTGAGGTCCAGATAATAGATCATTCCGGATTATGGACGTCCGGATTACAGACTTTGTACTATACTACAAAAAAGCAATAAACTATATTTTTGCTTTTCAACCATGTAGTAACGTGTGGCCCCAACTTGTCAGCAACTGTGGTAGTGACTGCTATGAAATGTAGATTTACACAAACACGTAAGAAGGGTTTAAAGCCCTTTTTATTCCACTTTAAAAATAACAGCTGCATCCACTTGACGCTCACAAACTACGCCGACCCGGCGGTTTAACAGAAACAGAATGTAAAACTGAAAAATAATGACTGGATGAATAAATAGCTAGATCACTATCCACGAGGCTCTGAAATCTTAACTAACCTAACCGCATTCTAAAATACAGCTGAGATTCAGCGAGCTTACTAATTAAGCAGTTGAAGGATTCATCAAAAACTGCCAAGATAGGCACACAGGCCGAAACGCGCGGTTCTTAAATTTCTACCTAGCAACCTCCACATTCGTGATTCAAGAAGCACACTTACAAACTCGTTTCCCTTCTATTTAAACTCAACTTACTTCTGCTAAATTTGAATGTACTGCGCGCTCTACAACAATTTACATACTCTAGCATTGGCAATTCTAGGGGAAAGTAAAGGCTTGACAGGAAAGGTAGCTTAAAATACATGTTAGTTAAAATAAATATAAAACCCTACAACCTAAAAAAAAAATCTGTCCTATTCTTTTTGACTCAATCAATAAAAAACATTGCTATAGTTGGAATTGAAAATAATATTCCTGTTCTGTCTCCGCTCTTAAAACTTTGGAAATAAAAGATATAAATTGTTGTCATTTTGAAACTCTTTACATCTCTCTCTTCCACTTACTGATATTTATAACAGTCTAGTTTCATTCACTAAACTTTTCCTGACATTCTTTCAATTATTTCTAAAAAAAATTGGAAAAATCACCTTAATTATGCACTTTTTAAAATTTACATACATTATAGGCTTTTTTCTTCAAGCAAATAAAAGGGATACCTACGGATATAGCTTTCTCCACTTTTGTTTGCAACTTTTACCTTTTGACCAAAGAATATAGCTTCCAAAATATATTAAGCAAGGCGATAAAGTTTTTTTCAGTAGTATGTTTAGATGTATTGATGATATCATTGCAGTTAATAACTTCAGGAAAATGGAAGAAGACAATATTAGCACAATAGTTTAAGCCTTAAAAAAACTAATATGACTGGAAAAGAAATTAACTAATTTGATTTAATATTTTTGACTTCAATGATATTAAACTTTATGATAAAATAAGGGACTTCAGTTTTCAAACTATTAATTCACTGGGAAGCTAATAATTCGGAAAAAGTTATAATACTATTATGAATCAAATTAATAGAATTTCGAAAAAAAAAAAAAAATGTTCTGAAGTGAATTATCTTCAAGAAGAGATCAATCTTTTAATTAATGTCACTCATCTACTCATTGTTCGGTACACCATCTAGTGAGCTTCTTATATTGCCTGCTTTTACCCCTCGGCATGATAATACAGAAGCTGGCATTCCTTTTTTTCTTGTTTGGTATTTAGATTCTCTAAACAGGTATTGTATTAAAGAAAAGACTAGTGTTAAAACAAATATAAATGCTGAGAACTTGAATTTTCTTAAATATTTATTACTACATAAGATGTAAATTTAGATATGTTAAATGCCAAGATTTAGTACAAAGGTCATGATACCTTTTTTAAGAAAGAAAGTTGGTTATATATATACAGAAGTTAGTCACCTCTGCTATATATGTTTGATAGAAATTTAAATGGCTGACAGTTAATGTACTGCTTGTCATTTTTTTTTACTCTAAAGTCATATTTTTTTTTTTTTTTTTTTTTTTAATATAAGAAGGGAACCAGTGGACCATTAGTAGAATACCAAAATGTACATGATGCTACTCAGAATATAAGAAATCTGATTCTGTCAAAACATATAAAGGGTGAAAAGACTAATGTCAAAGCAAATATAAACACTGAGAATTTGGACTAATTCCTGGAAAAATGTGCATATAAAATGAGACTGTGAAGCACATAAAATGAGACTGAAAATTGAAAAATAAATAAATAAAAAATATATAAACACATAATATGAAAATTGAAAACTAGAAGCAGTTAATAAAATCATATGAAACAGAATTCCAGAGACGAATTAGTGATTAAATAGAAGAGAGAATGATAAACCATCTAATAATTCCACATAGGCATTTAAATATTTATTTTCTGTTTTCCTTTTCTATAACAGAAAAGTTATTCTGCAGTTTAACTTTTGTAAAATTTCATTTCAGTTCTAAGGACTGTTTACTATGTAAGGCATGATCAGCCTAACAGAATCAAGACAGAAAAATCAAGACTTGGAATCCAGGAAGACCAGAAAAGGAGCTAAGTTAGTTAAAAGTTAGGCAAACTTCATTATTGCCTTGGAATAGAATTTAATCAAGGTGTAAATGATAATTCTAGTAGTTTATCTCAGCAGAAATATGTTTATAACATTCTACGAAGGTTTAATATGCAAGATGCAAAATCAATAGCAACTCTTTTAAATCCTAGTTTAAAATTAAGTAAAGAAATGTGTCCTTCTGAAAGTGAAGGAATGAACTGTGTACCTTATCGGCATCTAATTGGTTTGCTTATGTATCTTTCCATGTTTATTACGTATGCCGTCAGTCACCAGAGGCAATTTAATAACAGTCCTGGAAAATTACTCTGTTTGGCTGCAAAGCACGTTCTTTGATATTTAAAAGAAACTAAAAATTATTGCCTAAAATTTCGAAAGAATGGAAAAACACTTTTTGGATATACCAATGCCAGCTGGGCATCTGATGTTAATACTAGAAAATCCTATACAGGTTACCTATTCAAGCTTGCTGGAAGTCCAATAACATGGGAATCATGAAAGCAACAAACCATTGCATTATGAAGCTGTGAAGCATAGCTTATTGGTCTTTCAGAGAGTGCTAAAGAAGCAGTTTATTTACATCGTTTACTCAAAGAATTAAATTTTAATGCTGATTGCCCAACCATTATATATTGTGATAATCAAGGTGCGCAGAAGCTTATGAAAAACTGTTTACCACTCACGTGCTAAACACATAGATATTAGACATAATTTCATATGTGAAATGTATGAAAGAAATGAAATAAACGTTAAATATGTGCCAACAGAGAAAATGCCTGCTAATGTAACTGACAAAAACATTGCTTTGAAAATTGCTTTGAAAATTCTAAGTGCTGTAAATTATTTGGAATAACTGTAAATGATTAATGTTTTTTTCAGCCGCCAAACATCGAAAGGGGGATTGTTGTATCATAAATCATAATGTGACGTTTAGCTTAAGAGCGCTTCTCCTGATGCATGCGCTGTTGGTGTTTTTTCCACGCGGTGATGACATAACTCTTTCTTACATATGTATGTATATGCTTTTCTTACTTCTTCACTTTCTCTGCTTTACGAAACTATGTTTAAGTTAATCTCTCTCTCATTAAAAATGTTCATTAATGTTACAATCTGTTTAGGCTCATTTTCCCCCTTCAGTTCCTTCCCCTTTGATTGATAACAACTGAGTGTTTTATCTTAGCTAACTAGCCAGTAATTAAATATTAATTGTATTAAGGTGACCATACGTTCTGAATTTCCTGGGCCAAACATCGAAAGGGGGATTGTTGTATCATAAATCATAATGTGACGTTTAGCTTAAGAGCGCTTCTCCTGATGCATGCGCTGTTGGTGTTTTTTCCACGCGGTGATGACATAACTCTTTCTTACATATGTATGTATATGCTTTTCTTACTTCTTCACTTTCTCTGCTTTACGAAACTATGTTTAAGTTAATCTCTCTCTCATTAAAAATGTTCATTAATGTTACAATCTGTTTAGGCTCATTTTCCCCCTTCAGTTCCTTCCCCTTTGATTGATAACAACTGAGTGTTTTATCTTAGCTAACTAGCCAGTAATTAAATATTAATTGTATTAAGGTGACCATACGTTCTGAATTTCCTGGGACAGTCCCGAATTTTAAGTCACTGTACCAATTTTTTTACAACTCGGTTTTTGGTCCTGAATTTATAACATTTGTCCCAAATTGTCTCGAAAATCAGTACTGTGAGAGTGTGAAAGTTTAAATGCATATATTTATTTAAGTAGTGTAGATTGCAAACTGAGAATACAGGGGAGAGCAGGTTCACACACTCTGGTGGTTTGCATAGACTAATCGAGTATCGTCCAAACTGAGAATACAGCCGTAAGTTAAAAGATGCACCATACCGGCCACAGAAACAGGTGGTTTCACATTTAGTGTTTACCTTAGCAAAATTGTAGTGGTGGAGTTCTATTTCTTATTCCTGTATTTCTCTGCCCTCCTAGGCAACACATACACAGAATTTTTGCTCACAGTTACAGTTCAGACATTACTGCAATTTTTATATATTAATCCCATTGTGATTTGAATTTATAATAATATATATATATATATATATATTAATTATCAGTGCTGCATACATTATGTGTTCAATGGTACATTACATACATTGGCATTTATCATCCCCTTACATATTTATTACATGGCATCTAAAAATAATTCTTTTATCATTTGCTGAAATTTCATTGTAGATACATCTAAAATCATCTTTCTTTTGCCACATTTAAATTGTAAAATTTTTATTCCATTGTCATTTTTATTTTGCATAAGGGTTAAAAATTTTTTTTAAATCTTCCGAAAAAATTATGTGTAATGATATTTTGCATTTGGCAATGATATATTTTTTATTTATCAACGGTGCATATGTGCTGGGGGTATGTTTTACTGCCATTTAATTTATTATTTATATTTGCCATTGGTTTTTTTTAGTAATGGGTTCGAAAAAGAAAAAAAAAGGGGGGGGGGTGTACATGTAACGAAAATCTACTGAAGCATTGAAAGAATTATAAGCAATTCTAATGTACAACGCAATACATTTCTTCAAAATCTTTGATAAGCCATGGTGAATGTGTAGATATTAGACTTATAAATAGTAATAAACATAAAATATCTGACTGTGCTGTTGCATCTAGCTTGTTATTAAAAAATTTCTTCCAAGAGGAGAAAATGGGTAATAAGAATGAAGATTAGTAAGTAGTGCAGTAGAAAGTACTATTCCATACCATACCTTTTTTCACAGCCATAGCTTTAAGTCTTTAGACTGTACATCTAAGCTGCTTCAAATGGCATATAAGCCTAAATTTACATATGCGTGAACCAAGGCCGAAGCAATAATACTAAATGTTTTCATGCCTTCTGCTTTAAGAGCTTTGCATAATGATATGAAAAAAATTTCATTTGTTTCAATCTTAAGTGATGAGTCCAATCACCAGGAAATAAAACTTTTCTAATACTTCGTAGATTTATAGATTGGAGTTATTGAATTAGAGCAAAAGTTTTAGAATTTAATTCCTTGCCTGGTGAAGCATCCGATATCGTAAGCAACTATTTAACTACCTGTCTTGAAGAAAATAGTTTAAAACTAAAAGTTATTGGTCTTTGTGCTGATAATAAGATTTCTAATTTTGGAGGAGCTGATAGAAGTGGAAAAAATATAATGTTTTCGTTAAACTGAAATGAAATCTTAACTTCTCATCCATAATGCTACAAGAACATCAGCTGATGTTTTGTCAGTTGACATAGAAATGATTGAGTAGAAATACTGAAAAATTTCTGCAACTTCATAGAAACCAGTTTGGTTTTTCAATGATACTGTGGGATTCATAAACAAGATGGTTAGCATTACTTCCCGCCATTGAAGGGGTACTCTGTTTTTACCACTGAAGGCCTCTTTGCAATCTTAAGAAAAGTGTCCCGTGCTTATTTTAAATCTCTTTGAAAATCCAGTGGCAAAAGCTTGGCTACACTTTATTAACACTCTCAGGCTTCAATATTTCCTAAAATTATTACAACATTTGAAAATCAAATTATGTCTATATTTGATGTAATTGCTTCTGGATGCTCTGAAAGGTTTAGTATTAAGCAAGATAGAGGATAACTTTATTCCAATAAATGTTAAAAAAGACTAGAAAAACTTGAAGAGGATGGAAACATGTTACAATACTAAAGTTATTGAATTTCATAAAGCTGTTTCATTTTGTCAGACTGCTCTTACTGGAAATGTACAGCTGTATTATATTAAATGAAATACCTTCTTACAATCAAGTTGAAAAAGCCTCTTTGTTAATTAATAAAATTATACCAAATTATAAGTTATTGGAAATTGATATATATGAGGAAAATTTTTATCTTAAACAATGTATCATGGAAGAAAAAATAATTGGAATGCTCAAATAATAACTGCCCAGTTCAGAGGTGGATGGAAATAACTAAATGTTTTAATAAGAACCAGATTCCTTGTTCAAATGTTTTAAAATTTCCAGAGTTTTTCTATTGTCTTCCTAGCACTATATGTTGCAGCTAAACGAGCATTATTTAGCATTATGAACAGCTTTTGGACTAGTGATAAGACACAGCTTAAAGTGGACATTTGGAGGGCAAGAAAAGCAAAAGAAGAAGATACTCTAAGAAATATTCATGCTTCAGAGAAATATACGGCTACTTCATCAAAATAATTTAGAAGGGTTAGAAATTTATTATTTTGTCTAAAAATGAATGCTGCATTTTGATGTATTCTTTAATTATTAAAAAAATATTATACATCACTATTAAAAATTAAGACGAAAGTTATTTATTTTGATTTATACATATAAACCTACATACCACCACCACAATAACAATAATAGTAAAATAATTTATTTGTAAAAAAGATATTTAAAAAGTTATATATATATATAGCATTCTGAATTTTGAACTTCGAAATCTAGTCACCGTAACTGTATAGCAGATATTTTATGTAAGCTCTAGAAGAAATCACCTGTCTGGAGAAGAAATTTTGAATTTTATAAAATATTGTTATTTACTTGCTTACTGAACATATATTTTTACTTGTGATATTATTTAACATTAGTGTATTCATAGTATTTACAGAGATATATTTTTTCAGATCTGTTTCAAGGGTGCTAATGTTTACAAAGGTTATTTTAAAAACCCAGAAGCTACTAAAGAATGTTTAGATGACGGAGGTTGGCATCATTCTGGGGATATAGGAAGATGGCTTCCTGTATGTTATAATTTGAGTCTGTTTATTTTTAATGTTTATTATGATTTATTAACAGTAAATTTGTCATTAATTTATCATTTAATGTAATATATTTTCTTTAGAATGGTACACTGAAAGTTATAGACAGAAAAAAGCATCTTTTCAAACTTTCTCAGGTAGGTTAATATTATTTTTCTATTTTGTATTTTTCTAAACGAAACTTTTTTTTCCCTTAATTTTGTGTATGATTGTTAATCTTTTAGTTAATGAAGAACTAGATAAGCAAATTAAAAAATTTACAAATTGATGCATGAAGGTATTAACAGTTATCTTGTTCTTTACCTGTTCGAAGTATACTACAATAAATTCCGTTAAGTAAAAATTAAATTTTAATCTCATAGTTAAATTATAGATTAAATTTTCATGTGGCAGTGATAATTAGAGGTCTATATGGATAATACTTTTTTTAACTAGTAGGATGCAGGTATGTAGTTTTTTGCTCAATGTACATTGCTAATGTTTTTTTAACTTTTCCATAAAAAAGATCTTAATTAATTGCAAAAACATACAGGAATACTTGCAATTTTCATCTTTCTCTCTCAATAAGCAATAGCATACTGGTTATAATGATTGTTCAATATTCTGTTATTTATTATAATTTGTTTTTATTTTATCGTATTAAATATCTCAAAATGTTAATATTCAAGTTTATATAGAATTTTGATAAATGGAACTTGCAATGAATACCTAAGAAATACTTTTGAAAAATTCAATGTTTGTTAATCATATATTATGTCATCACAAGTTTTAATTGATTAAATTTGTTTTTGAAAGTAGATTATCTTGTAGCAAAATATATCTTATTTGTTGTATTGGATAAGGTGGCCCAGAGTTTATTAACCCTCATAGTTTGTTCAAATATGCACCTGTTTACACAGATGTGTATTTGTTGTCTTTATTTCACTTCAAATGACTGGCACTAGATTATAGCACATGCGCATCCATTTCCTTTCACTTCAAATGGGAGCCACAAACTCCTGAATTGTAGCAGAACACCTTATTTATGTTTGGGCTTGTAAAAAGTCCATAAACCAAAAAGAGCATAGTGTGTGCAATGGGACTCACCAAAGATCATATTTAAAAATGATGCTCTTGAGGCAAAAGGATAAACTCAACTCATAGTCAGTTTTGGTTAAGAAGAGGATAGAATATTGAATGACAGTCAGTATGAGGGAAATCATCTGCAGCAGTGACAGAATCTGTGGCTATTTCTGCCAAAAATTCACTGCAAAAACAACAACAGAAACTGGATATTCACCTAATAGGTGAATAGGCTGAGGATCTGTACATTACCAGTGGCAGATTAAGTCGTCTATCAGTCGTCTGATATTTTGTCATGTGATAATACATATTAAGCAAAAAATACCAACTGAAGTGTTGAAAGAAGCTAAGAAAACATTCACAAGATTCATAAAGCCTGTATTTCATAAAATTTCTGGCAGTACATAGCATAACCTCATTTAACACCATATTAATGATAGTATTCACATTAACATGCTGGATGTTTAAATGTAAACATGAGCTGTTAGTCACTAAGTCATCTGAAGTGATGCCAACAAATGTACACTGTGCAAAACAAAAGGGGGGGACAATTCTATATCTCCCGTTCCAATGGGCCGATTGACAAAATTAAAATTGGGTTTTTCATGCCTTGAAAGCACGACTTAGGATATATATTCGATTTATATATAGCATTGTTCTAACATAGGTATTTTGACACAAAGCTGGACTTTTTCTGAAAAAAAAATTACCAGTTTTTTTCCACGTTTCGATTCTACAACTCAAATTATGCCTAGATGTTAAATTTTGTAAAATTTGTGGAGAAATTAAAAAATTTATATTGGTGTAATTTCTTTCAGTTTGCGCCAAGAATAATTCATTTGGTGAACTTTTTAATATATGGCAACCAATTTTCCTTTCCCTTCCATTATGCCAGAGCGGAACAAAGAACACCTTGTTCCTTCCTTTTTACATTGTGCATGAGAGGGAAAAAAGTCACATCGTTCCTACTTTCAAATCATTTAGCAAAGAAAGAAAAAGATATGTTCGAAAGACGATAAAGTTAAATAATTGCACACATTTAACTTTCATCTGTAATAATATAAATTTAGAAGGGTTAGAAATTATAAACAAAATAATAAATTTATAACCCTTCTAAATTATTTTGATGTCTAAACCACATTTGATGTTTTATCGCTTTCAACAACTATGCCAAATTTCAAAATGTACCAATATATAAATTCACGTATATCTTCGAAAATTTTGAATAAAAGCTGTAATGTTTTGCAGGTATGCTTTGAAGTACGTCTACTTTAAGATGGTGAAAATTTTACAGATTATAATTCAACATTTTTTTGAAAAATTTCTAAAATTAAATCATAAAAAAGGCGTAAAATTTATTTGGAATGAACCTGAATTTCGAAATGTGAAAGGAAGAATCAAATAAGCTTAACAAAAAAAGAGAGATTAATAAATTTATACCAAATTCAATTAACATTGAGGAGCTAAAATTTTGAAAGTTAATTTTTTAAAAACTACTATTGAGATTTTTATAAAACGTGGTAGTTTGGCATAATTTGAGTCGTAGAATTGAAATATGGGAAAAAATTGGTATGTTATTTAAAAAAAAAAGTCTGTTTTTCTGTCAAAATACCTATATAAGAACAATGCTATATATTATATCTAATATATATCCTTAGTCACACTTTCGAGACATGAAAAACACAAGTTGAATTTCATGAGTCGGCCCAGTAGAACAGAAGATATAGAACTGTCCCCCCCCCTTTTTTTTTTTTCTTTTCTTGATATTTTCTTCCCCCCTCCCAATCTTTTGTTCAAGATTACTTTGGGTTGAGGTAGTTTTTTTCGCAATGTTTGTGCTAACATGTTACTTACTAAGAGATTAAAAATACTTGTGTATATATTTAGGGTGAGTATATAGCACCAGAAAAAATTGAAAATGCATACAGTTACTCACAGTTTGTTTTACAAGTGTTCGTCGATGGATTACCAGATCAGGTATTTTTATGATTGCAAATTTTTTATGCATATATCTGAATAGTATAATTCTGTATTTAACAAAGAGCATAAAAGGATTTAATTTTGAATGCTTTGCTGAGCTTTTACTGATTTCAAGAAATTCTTTAAGTAGCACTATTTCAAGAATTTGTAATGGGGGATAGAAACTTTGGTAAAAATTAATTTGTTCAGGCATTGTTATGTTCTCATTTCCTCTGTCTGTAAATTTGTGGCTTCAACCTTTATCAAGTAGATATCATGTATTGAGTTATAATATTACTGTATTTTTTTCCCTTTCTCAGGATTATGTTGTTGCTTTAATTGTTCCTGAGTTCAATAATTTTAACAAATGGTTGAAATCTAAAGGTTTTCAAAATGGAAATTTCAATGAGTTGTTGCAGAATAAGGTTAGTAATAATATATTATTTTTTTAATCAATTAGATATTTAAATTTCATTTTATATATATCTATAATAAATACATTAAAAATCAAAATATATTTCCTAATATTTGTGCAATAGCTGCAAAGTAATAAAATAATATTTTATTTACCAGTGGATTATTAAGTATATTATCTCTTTAGCTAAAGTTAGTAGAATTGTAGTTGAATAAAGTGTATATTTCTGCAAACTTCCCTAAGAAACTGTTCATCTGGTTTATATTAATAAATTCCTTTTAAAACTGAAAAAATTCATTTTTGAAAACTATGACAAAATATGAATTGTTAAAGACATGGTTCTTGATTTTTTTTAACTTAGACTTTCTAACTGTCTGGCTCTATGCAAAATTTATTTTAAAGTCAATTTTCTGCATCTGCAGTTTGACAATATTCGATTCTCTAGAATTTTCAATAAATGTAAAGTTTACTTTCCAGCTGTAGACACCAAACCAGTAGTTGCATTTAAATATCAAAAGACATTTAAGCAGCTTTCTTACTAACCACCATGAAATAGATGAGTCGGCAGAATGACATTGCAAATTACCAATTTACAGTATTTACGTAGATGCTCATCACCAGCACATAATTACTGGCAACCTGGATATCATACAAAACGATCAACTAAAAACACTAATGAGTTATGAAGTAAAATATAGACCAGTGAGATACATAAACAAAAATTACTGTTACAAGACCTTCAAAAATAGCATCAACAAATTTATAGTTAAAGCAAGCTATCAACTGAATTTACCTATAGATACCTTTTTGAAATGGAAAGATGAAATACTTATACACGTTTCTACTGCACTTAATCACATCAAGTTTCGAAGTACATTAAATTGGTCACAACTACTGTCTGTTATAAAAAATTAAAAAAAACTTTTTACTATTACAAAAATAGATAAAGCAAATAATATATGAAAATAATTCTATGCAGCAATTATTAATAAAGAACTTTTCAATGCTGCTAATCAATTAGTAAATGATGCAGAAACATCTATAATTAACAGAATTAAAACTTTTCAAAAACTAAATATCTCTTTAAATCCAAAATACAACAGATTTACTAACCTATATGTGCGTCTCAAATTCCATAAAACACCATTATATGATCCTGACATGGAACATGCATTAAAATTTCAGTGTAATCTTAACTTTTGTGTAGCTGAATATCAGGAATTATGCAAGCAGCTTGAGAAACAAAAAAGTCACTAATAATACACTTTTAACAACAAAAAAGTCAACAGAGGCCATTAATAATGAACGAAATTCTTCATTTGAAGCAAATCTGACAGTTGTGCTAAACATATCTGACATATCTACTGATGATAGCATATTTGATCCAGTTCATAATAAAAGTGCACACTTGTTTTCAAGTAGCGATGAATAGTTGCGAAATTGATTTCTATTCCTAATTTCAATTAAAATTTTTATGTGTACTTATGGACTGAATTTTCACTGTACACTAATTTTAATTTATTTTTGTAATAAAAATTAATTGCTTTTGATTTATAAATGTGTAATATGGATTTCATTATCTCTTTTTTGTATTTTTTTTTTTTTTTAGTTTTTTCATCTTGCACGATTTTTTAAAATTTTGGAACATATCTCCGAATTTACCTTATGTTGCTTGTATTTTTTTACACGGTTTTCTAAGGCACGTATCTACCCTGTAAAAAAAAAGTTGGTTGTATATATTATCTTGAAGAGGATGTGGCTGGGTAATTTTCCATAATATTTATTTCATGTTCATGATTAAGTTGCCTTTTGTTTAAGAGTGCTGCGACTATTATAGTAGTAATACATTATGATAATTATAGTAGCAGACTATTATAGTAGTAATACATTATGACTACTGTAATAGTACGACTATTATATTAGTAATACATGTTCCCAAATTTACCATATGTTGCATGTATTTTTTTGCACAATTTTGTTTTACATGCCTTTCTAAGGAATGTATGTATCATGTAAAACAAGAGTTGGGTGTATGTATTATCTTGAAAATGATGTGACTGGGTAATTTTCCATAATATTTATTTCATGTTCATGATTAAGTTGCCCCTTGTTTAAGAGTGCTGCGACTATTATAGTAATAATACATTGTCAAGCCATTGATACTCATTGTAATGTTTTCCATAAATTTTGTTTTTCATTCTTCACAATGCCACAATAAATTTCTAACAATAAAATTCACAGACAATGTATTTCCATTGGAAAGTAATTCTTTACACTTATGTCTGGTATATAAAATTCAGTGAGTCATAAAATTTAGAACCATAGCTTGGAAGGCTCCTGGTCATAGAAAACTCTTTCTTTATCTCTTTGTATATATTGATCTTAACATTATACAGTGACTAATGTTGCTAGTTCTCTGAATAGTTATTGCTTGCCTAGCTTAAAATTAAAAAATTTTCTCTATTTTCAATAACTACTGGATAATTTGTACAAAAGGGATGATTTTTATAAGACATTAGCAGTTTAAAAAAAATACAATGCATGCCTTAGAATCTTGCAGTACTTAGGACATTTTGACTTATGTCAAATTGGACAGTTTGACTTCATGTAGAAATTACCATGATTGCTAATATTCTGGTCCAGCTTCAGTGGCAGTGCTGAAGAATGAAAAGCAAAGAATATGGGACGGCATGTTATATTGTGCCTTCAGGGGGTGGCTGAGACAATATATTCAATAAAAATTAGTAATCTCCCACTGAAACTTTGAGTTTATAATGCAATGAATTTTTAAAAAATTTTTGTTTCATGTAAATAGGTAATTACCATATAATACTGAAGGAGCTGCATCATAAATCATAAAATTCATTCATGTTATTAGTAGTTAATTTTATAAGTACTTTAAAATCATATTATGGCTCAATTTTTTATTTTATTGCTTAGTGAAATAAAGTATTGTGTAATCTGATAACAAAATAATCATATAAAATTTGATATCAGAAGAAATTTATTTTTAGCAGGTCACTAGTATATATAAATCAAATTGTTTCAGGAAATGAGAAGGGCTTTCCTTTTGGAGTTGCATAAGCATGGACAGCGTGAAGGGCTGAATACGTTGGAACAGGTTGGTTGAAAACTTTTTTCCAGAAAAGAAAATAGGAATAATGATTAACCCTTAGTGCTCCACATGTTTTTGTACCACTACCTACCAGCAACTCCGGCACATTTTCGCAGCAGAATGCAGCATCCAGGATATCTGCATAAATCTCTTTCTTATAAATATTTTACCAAAGAAAGGGATGTGACTATTCTCCTTAACTGACCAATAATCCTGCATATTCGCCAGGGGTATCGTACCATATTGATAATAACTCCAATAAAAATCCAAAACTCATCTCCTCTTCCACCGCACGCCACATTTTCCAAATAGAATTACTAGATATTTCTTTATTCTTTAAAACATTTTCTGCGTAAATGTTGGTTTCTTTTATAATTTCATTTATCAGTTCGTTTGTGAAAAATAATTTGAAATATTGTGTCGGCTGTACAATATTTGTAGGAATTTGTGTTCCAATGACCTTTGGCAATACACTAAAATGTATTCTATCCAGAATATCTAATTCTTCCGTGACATCACGCCATTCATCTAAGTCTTCCTGCGACTCTTCGCTTTCACTTTCAATAACTACCATTCGTCGTATCTTTGGTAGTATAGTTTCGGAACCACTACTTGAAGTGTCATAATTATAATCAACATTGTCTTCCACAATATCTTCTAACAAGGAAAAATCAAACACATCTTCACTATTACTCACCTCTATAATCTCATCACAATAAATATTTTTCTCTATGTTGCTAACCGTAAATTGGGTCAAATAATGTTTCAATCTTAACAGTAATGAGACTGAGCACGTTTTAACTACAGATAACAATTGCCAACACCGATGATTCCGTAACATCTTAAGCCTAATCATGCTAAAAACATTGGGCTCCGCAGCGGAGCCTACAAAGTTACCGAACAAATGACGGACGGCTCCGCAGCAGAGTGCTAAGGGTTAAGATATGTTTTTACCATGATCTTACGAGTAACTGAGTTTAGCAAGGATTGTGTAAATTGGATAAATTTTTGCTGTAAAAAATAATTACAACCAGGAATTGACCTTAATCTATGTGTCTGCAAGTGAGCTCATTTCTAATATATATATCATTGATAATTTTTCTAAATTTTTTATTTGAGCTTTTTGAACTGCTTATCTGAATTTTTTGCATGCTTTCCTTTCATTTGGGGTAGGATATCTGGTCACCTGTAGCATGAGTAGCAGATCCAGATATTGCATATCCTGGTCCACATGCAACATTAAAAGAGCACACTTTTACTGAGCCCCTTAGCAATTGATCATGCTTATTTAATTTCTGTAAAGCTTCATTCATTAGGTGTTCTGTTTGCTTTGCATGTTATGTAAAACATTCAGTGTTAGTCCGTTATTCTAGATTTCATAATATTTCACAGAATGTATAAATATTTTTACAAATACCCTTAAAATTTTCTGATACAAAAGGGTGTTAGGAAGGACAATATAATTAAAAAAAGTACTTGTATTTTATTTTGAAATAAAACTCTTCATCATGCACTTAGTAGATTTGAAATCTGAATATTCAATACAAGAATGATGTCATGAGTAATGAAGTCAAAAATATCAAAATCATAAATCTTTTACAGTTTTTAAAAAATATTTTGATATAATTTGTAAATTTATTAATTTTTTTAAATGGCTTAGGTATAATTTTTAATGCTTAAATGATTTAAAATAGGCACCTGTAAATTTTTGCTACATCAGTGCTTTAGCATATGCTACATTAGTTTGATTTTGTCCTTAACTGTTTCATATCGATTTTTTGATTTAAAAAATTTTTTACTTCTTACTTCCTTGTACGAAGTAAAAAGGAAGTATTGTAATCGCGAAAAGTTTCAGGCAGCATATTTCAACGAAAATATCCATTTTGACCGCTATCGAATGAAATTTAACGATGTTTTTGCGTGATATCTGTATGTAAGGACAGAATAAAATACTCTTTTCCTTCAAAAAAAGTATAAAACTGCTTTGAAATTAATTCTGAAGAGAATTGTTCGTGCCGTCTGTACGAACGTATGTACGTACGTATCTCGCATAAACTCAAAAACGAGTAGCCTCAGAACGTTGAAATTTTGTATATAGGACTGCTTATAACATGTAGATGTGCACCTCGTATTTTGGTTGCATCGGCCGCACCAAACGTATATAAAATATATATATATATATCCACTCTGTTACCCGGCTCAGTGATCTCAGCTTCTTTACTCTTATATGTTTGTAAATTGTACATTTTTTGCTTTTAAAATGATTGAATTATGTTGTTTTTATCTTTCGGTTAAGGTTTTTATGCCTTTAGTAAATCTGTGTGCAATATTTTTAGAATTATTAGCAATTTTAAAGTTGTTTAATTGCCGCTAAGCCTGTTTTTAATGGCGGCCATTGATGTTTACATTTGAAACAGGAGACTAGTGGATTTGTTGCCAATCTAGAGAAACTTAGCTTCACAACAACAAAGATAACGCATTCGTTTATTATTGCCAATTAAATCATGCTTAATTTTTTCTGGAATTTTTTCGAGGAAATAAGTGCTTGAGATTTACTTCGTAATTTTTAATATAAATATTTTGAGTTTTTATGTATTTTTGCCTTCTCACGAAGTGAGAACTGAATTAATTAAATGAGAAATACTCAATCGTCTGTGAAAACTGTTTTTTTTTTTTTTTGTTTTGTTTTCTTAATTTCTTTTATACATCATTCTAGCTTTATTAAAGTATTTGAATAGAACATGTGGCAACGATTAGATAACTCTATTCTTTAAATGATATAAATTTTGTGCATTATGAGTTATAATATGAACAAAATATATACGTTAACTGTTATATAATTATTGGATTATATAACAGTTAACTTAGTTTCCATTATATAATTATTATATAAGTTAACTGTTATATAAATATTAATACTGTTAAGTGAATCTAGCGCCAGAGTGTCGCTATGGTAAACAAATACTAGAGTGAATTTTAAAGAATGTATTTATTCTATTGTGGTTTATGCGCTGTCGTCGAAGTAGATTTAATTCAATCCAATAAGTTTAAATGAAATGCAAGAAAAAATGCGTATAATTTAATATTCCAATTTAATATTCCAATACAAGGAAGTCATGTGGTGTACACATCAGATTTTTTTACTTTACTTTTTAAATTATAAAATAACAACACAAATGTGCAAAAACAGTGTTTTTTTAAAATTTTTTTTTTTTGGATTTTATATTTTCAAAAAATTTGCATGTCGAAAAGAGCTTAGGCAATGTTGCCCATTGCTCTTCCGCCATTTGATTATTTAAGTCAAAGGTTTTAAATGGTAACTCCTGTGAAAGGTAAATAATAAATAAATAGATAAGTCCCAAACTGACCCCAAATATATAGTATCAGCAAAAGATCTCATCTCTCTAAATTCAGGGTGTCTATTAAATCGTTAAAACTTCCCAATTGGATGAAGAGCCGATTCAATCCCTCCCAAACCACCAAACGCAAACTCTTGACCAAACAAGGGTGCAATGATGAGTCTAAAATAAAAATAAATAAATAAATAATAAATTAAATTAAATTAAATTAAATTAAATTAAGGCAGAGGTACTTTTTTAAGCCAAATGGCCAGGTGGTGTATAAAGATCTGATATCTATTTCCAAATTATATTCCAAAACACAGCTATGAGAGGAAAATCCCTGTATAGTTTCTTTTATAAAAAAAAAAAAAAAAAAAAAAAAAAACCTCCCAGGGCATCTCAATGCTTGTTTTTTGTGGTTTCAAATTCACCTGACCTGTAGATGCTTAGTATATATCAGAAACCCTATTATGCCAGAGAGCCCTTTGTATAGAAGGGCTTGATCAAAGCTAATATAGGGAAACCCAAGGAATTGTTTCTAGGAAGAGGAAACACCTTTTCACTTCCGGACATCATCCCAGGAAGTAAAAAGGTGTTTCCTCTTCTTCTCCACAAGCTGAGCAGAGAGGAGATTCGACAAGACCACATTTGTGGAGATGCTTGGCCAGATAAGCATGTCTGGTAACAATTTGAATTACCTTGGTTCTGCTAAGGTGTATGAGTTTACCTGATAAGTTAAGTGTACTAAGCACCAATTTGGAATGAGCACAGTCTGGTAGTTTAGACCATATCATCATATTTGTTCTTTATCCAGCTTCTTACTTCTTTTTTAACACTTTGATATGAAACTGGGTAAAATGGTTCTGGACCAGACATGGGTAGATGTGAAGCATCTTTAGCTACTTTATCAGGTAGTTTATTTCCAGCAAAATCACAATGACCTGGGACTCAGACGTAACTAATGGTGTTATGGTCCTGAGCCAGAGAATTGAGATCTTGAGTGCAGTTCAAAACACAGTTTTGTAACTTGACATGATTAGCCAGATAGCCAGAGCAAGGATGGCTGATTGGCTGTCAGAGAGAATATATATATTCTTATCAACTGTATTTTTAGCTAATGGCTTCCTGGCGACCACATTGATCGCCAGAACCTTGACTTGGAAAACAGTTGTAAGTATCTATACATTGTAAACATCTATACCTTGGTAAACCAAGGTATAGATGAAATCTTCTTCAGATCCCTTGGCTCTTATAATAGCTTCAGCTCCGATGAAGTTGGATTTTGATCCATCTGTGTAACATTCAATTGGTCCTGTTGGAATTAGGTCAATTAGAGATTCTATCTCATTCCTTTTTGGTATATAAGTTGAGAATAGGTTATCTGGAACTATTGTTTTAGTAATTGCATCTTTGGGTATATAGATTATAGGGATCTCATTGCCCAAGTCCAGGCATGTGTCAATGTGGCTTTTCAGGTGGCTTTTATGACCGAAACCTGTCCTTTGGCACCATGTGCCATTTTCATTCAACCTATACATGGCTTTAATTGCTTCTCCGCTCAAGAATAATTTCAAGTGTGGCAATAAAAATTCTAATGCAGCAGTAGGGATACTGTTTAAAGCCCCACTAATGCATAGGCAAGCAAATCTTTGCACTTTTGTAAAA